CCCCCCGAAATACATTTCCGCGCGCACCGAACGCGAAATTACAATTTTAACCAAAAACGCTTCCCCCGAAATTGCGAACCGCATACCCGTTAAAATTACCATAACATTAATTAAAAAGCTTAGCAACAACGTAAAAGCAACCCGCAAGCTTTTTAATAATAACGTAATAATTTTATTTTATATAATTATTGCTAAGCATATAAAAAGCATTGCGTAAATTATTAAAGTATTTAGCAGCAAAGCAATATACCAAACCCAAATTTATAACGTTGTAATTAAAAGCGTTTGTTAAAACGCCGCTAACAATAATAATAAATTATTGTACGAATTTAAAGCGCAAAATATTGGGGCAAAAATTAATTTTATTTATATATAAAACGTTCGGTAATTAAAAAGGTACGTTACGGTACTAATTAAAATTATATCCCCCGCCGTAACCCAAACCGCATGCAATAACGGTTTGGTATTTAAAAGCAAAATTTTTAACGTTAAACCGTTTGCAACCGGGGCGAAAGCCGTTTAATGCTATAAATGCTACGGGTAAAAATATAAATTGAAATTTTGCAAAAAAGCGGCCCGTTACCCGCATTGCGCCGGGCCGTTGCATAACAACGGTAAAAAAGGAAAATTTTTGTGCCCGTTTTATAACGGTTAATTTATTGCAAAAAAAAGCAAGCTAAAATGTTGCAATTGCGGAAGCAATTACCCGGCTTTTTAACAAGCGTGCCCCGCAGCAAAAAAAGAAATTAAAAAAGCCAAAAACGCGTTTTTAAACCGGCCGAAATAATTTGCTTTGGAAATAAAAAACGAACGCGCATTTTAACCAAACCAAACAAGCTAACCGGCCGCTTTTACCCTTTCCTTTTCCGCATTTATCCGCCCCCCGTTTAGCCCTTTTTAGCCGTTATATATATATATATAAATTTATTTACCCTTTTCGAGCTGTATAGCCCATGGGGAGCATTACGGATCGGGGTAATTATTTAAAAGTAAAAACCGTGCTTCCAGCCAATAGCTATTTAGTGTAAA